AGGTATTCCATTCGATGTGACCCATGCTCAGGTTTTGGGGGGAAAGCTAGCCAGGGGAGGGGGCAGGAAGTCACGGCTTGGAGCAGGCTGTGGAGGTCCATGTCTGGTCAGGGAGCGGTGGCACTGTAATTGCGTTCGTATATTCCTTTTCTGGTGTTACTGTTAGTGTTTTCTCTTGCTTTTGCTGTTCTGTTAAACTGCTTTTATCTCAACCCACGAGTTTCTGCCTTTTTTTTCTTCCGATTTTGCCCACGGCTGTGGGAGTTGCGTGAGCAGTCTCATGGTTCTTTGTTCTTGGCTGGGGCCAAACCACGACAATGTCATGTCATCATATTTTTTAGTCTCCCTTAGGACATTTTCTTTTTCCTGGGATGTAGCGTGTGCATGCCCACAGTGAAAAGGATTGAACAAAATACTTTTCAATACATGAGATTATAACAAACAAAACCACAAACAAGAACTCGTAAGAATTTGCTTGATGTTAGGATCTACTTTTCACAGTTTGCCTGGTGTCAGTAGTGGGTTGTACCAAATCTTGTGATGTTCCTACTTACTCTGTGCACTAGCTCTGGGTAAGATTTTATCTGGACTTACAGTTTGCATTATGAACCCTTCCTTAGCAGGGTATATTGAAGGAAGAGCCTCTTTAAAATGTAGATTCTCCATTCTATTGCTTAAACTTTGATGGTTTTGTCAGCTGTGTACCAAAGTATAGACATGAAAGAAAAATCACATTTGTAGTAAATAATACAGGAAAACATGAAGTGATAGTAGGAAAACATTTTCATATCAGGAGAGAAACTCACTACACCGTGAAGGAGTAGAAAAAATAATGGCAAATTACGTTGCTTAAAGTTTGATCCCTATACCACCAACTGCACAAGTTCTGCTGGTGGATAGAAAGAGCCATATAACCTCCAAACTTTATTGCTTCTATCTCCCAGCTGGAAGCATAGGCAGCCTACACCGCTGGGGCTGGCTCCCTAATTATCTAAGATGAATACACACCCTATTCCCCCACCCATGCAAAGGTGTGCATTTTTTTTTTCCCTTGAAGACTCACTTGGAATACACACAGGGGCTCTTCCACTCCATTTTCCTGTCTTCAGACAAGTCCTCCTGCTGCTACCTAGGCGTCGGTAGAAAGGAGAAATGCATTCATACTGAAGCTGAGTGTGCAGATGCTGGTACCCTGAGGGCAGGTCTCCAAATGGAAGTGCTGGCTTCTTGGTTGGATAGATTTCAAGCTTTTGCTTGCTGAATGCAGATGAGTAAAGTTGATGCAAAGGTGTTTCCCTGTTTCAAGGCACAAAACCAACAAGGTAATAATATAATATTATAAAAGCGGTCATTACCATAGCTTTATGACCAGCTGTGTTAAGTACCAGGTAAAAGCATATGAAATTTGCTTGTGAAAGAATAAGGCAAAAATATCGTTCCAACATAGTTTAGCAATACTCTCATTTACATCATAGCTATTTTATTTACACATACATGTACACATATATGAATATGTTTATACATTTTCTATTTGTGTCTCTTTTTTTTTTCATTTTACAGTTTCTGGGTTGCAATCAGTTGCCTCTGAATGTGGAACAGTTTTTGCCATTCACAAAAGGACTGAGATACCACATTTTAAAATAAAGAAATTACACTGGAAGTTCGCATTGCCATAATTAATTCTCACTAGAGAGGAGTGAGGCATATCTTTTCTCTAGTGAACATTTTAATAGGCAATATTAGGAATCGATTCAGATTAAATCATGTTGATAAAGTTGCTTGATTTAGCAATTAACAGAGATAATTGCCTCACCACAGAGATTTCATAATTGCAATAATAACTAAGCTTCCATTTAGTAATTGTACTGATTAGCTGAAACATGGCACATAATTAAAAAAATAAATATATGCACCAGCCTAGATATGGACCATAAGCTTGACTACAGTCGTACTTAAATTTTCATCACTTAGAACATGTCCCTTGCTATAATGCTTAAAAGCACATATCTACAGAAAAAAACTGTTTATGTCTGAAATAATCAGCAGGATATTAATTTCCTTTGAGATTTCTGGTACTGCCTGCATCCAGAAAAGCCATAAGAATGTTTTTTCATGTGGTAATTCCATTTTTGATCACAAAGAGACACAGACTGCCTCTGTCAATAGAACCTGTGAGGCAATACATAACAGCACTCAAGGAAAGTAGTTATTAAGAACAAGAGCAATGGCAAGTTTCTTGTATTTTGGAAGAAGGATGAGAGCTGCTGTGGTGATGTTTAGACTGCCAGGGTCCCATTCCCTACTCACACGTGACCTTGCAATATTGCATAATCCACACTTTACTTCACTATTAATCTATGAAATGGAGATCCTACTTCAAGGGATAAAAACCTTCCACAAACATGAGGTGCCATAATGATGCTATGGAACTGCTGGCATGTATGCAGTCATACAGCTGATGTTAATATCTGAAATATCTGAATATCTGAAAAATTTATCATAAAAAGACCTGTGTTCAAAAGTGAATTGAGAAATTTAAGCAAGAAAAATCCCTTGATGTCTACTAAAGCCTCCTAATGCCTTCTCAGGGCCATCTCTACAATCATACATCACAGAGCTGGAGAGTGGGAAAGTATTTGGGAAGTATATGCTTGCCTTGTTCCCAAAGTCTTCTCTAGGCATCTACTGGTCATTGCCAGAGACAGGATCTGGCTTGAGCAGGACCTTTATTCTGACCTGGTATGGCTGTTCTTAAGACCAAAGATGAAGACAGTCCTTGCACTGCATCTAAAAATAAATGAATCATATACTGAAGAAAAAAATACCCTGAAATGAGAAATTACTACTTGGACAAAAATGAACCTGAACATTGCAGCATAACTAATTCAGATTGGTCTTATTTCAAGAATCAGCAGAAGGGTAAGCCCGGGTCCAATCTTTCGTTCCTTCTCCCCTCCTACTCTGTTTCCTCCTTTCCCACATACCCACCTCAAACCCAACTTTATGTCAATTGTGCTATATTGGTTTCGATGGTGAAACTTAGTGGGAGAAGAATACATTGCTACACCCCCTTCTCTCCCTGTGCTCTCCCCACTTATTTCTTCAGTAAGATGGCACATGTTCGTCTTTTAAGACACATCATTAGCCTCAAGGAACTGTTCTCAGACTGTTCTCATTGCCTGTCACAAGCTTGCGAGCCTAATTCTGCCATCATCCAGTAGTTTGCACATCCCTAACTGTGCATTTCTTCCTGGCTGCCTCCAGCAGCTTGTAAATCTGTGCTTACTCAGACCTCCCATCCTGGCAGCTCTCATTGCTTGGTTATCAGTGGAGTTGTAGGAATGGCTGCTCAGGCAGGCTAAACACACAGGGTGGAAAGGAGAGGAGGGGAAAAGCAATCACATTTTTTCTTTAAACTGTAGTTGAGATATTGCATTCTCACCTTGACTGAACCTGCATTGGAAGCACTTTCTGTCTCACCAGGTCAGAGATCTTTGGCTCTCTGCAGGCTAGAAAAAACATAATGTTGCACAGTACTTTTCCATATTCACAGCTTAAGTGTTATAGTTCATACACATTTCCACTCTTGCCTCTCACGAGTTATAGCGACTGGATTAAGAAAAGAGGCAGTAAATTACATGCATTAAAATAAAGATAGGCCCTAAACCCTGGAGCCTTGAAAAAAAGCTTCCCCACAGATTGCCAGATCTATTGCATTTACAACAGTGGAAGCAACTGCGTGTCTTCTACACTGGAACTTTCAACCATGGAGGGAGATTTGTCCGTCAGTGTGTCTGAATGCCAGATTTACACCACTACAGCTGATGGTTTGGAATCTGAGCAAACTTTTGCAATGATGAATTTATATAAAAAATACTTAATTTCCATCTGTATAGCCACACACAACTAATCCCAGTAACTTTGCATACAGAGAAAGGCTGCAGGATGCTACAGATTTCTAAGAATCTGTTTGCTTGTGCACCCATTGGAAGGAGCTGGAGACTGATTCAAAGGAACACCTCAGAGTTACCTGAATATGCACAAAATAACAGAAGGGAGATCCAGGATTTCTAATTTTGCATATTCAGTTTACTTACTTTAAGAGCAAGATAAAATATTCAGGTTTATCAATTCAAATAACTCTGCCAGGATTTCCTTCCTGCAGCACACAGTGGAAGCAAAGGAATCTTGCAGGGTAGATTTTATCTTTATACCTGAGCACTTGTGTTCTGTGGGATTTAACAATATCTAGCTCTTCGTGATTACTGTATATGTTAACCTTTATGTCACTATCAAAGTTAACATCAATAAAGATGCTTTCCAAAAAATTATTATCATCAATAAAGATGCTTTCCACAGATGATTATATGCTTCACGGAGGTATTATTTCCATCTAAAATAACAGAATAAAGCAAATTCCCCAGGGGACAGACATATTTCCTTATATTATCATTACTTCAGCTTAAAAAAAAATCCATTAAAATATGTGTCAAACAATTGCTTTGGGAAAATGAATTTGGCAATTCCCCAGCCCAAATTAATTCATCCATTCAGGATTTCAGCCATGCTTAGAGTAGCTCCAGGTCAACAGCATAATTCCCTTTCTAGCAAAGTATTTAAAGATGTGTTTCAGTGTTTTGATGAATACAGATAGTTTAAGCATGTCCTCAGGTGGTTTTCTGAACCAAACCTTCAAGTCTGCAGTCTGCAGGCTTGGCCTTTTACACTTATGACTGGTCCCATTGACTTAAAAGGATTGTGAGAGGAGAGCTGGGCCCTATGACAGCAACTCTGAATAGACAATTATTTTCTTCAATTTCAGTTCCCTCCTGATCTTTTTTGATTTTATATTGATCTTACATGGGTTTGATCCTTGAATGAGGGCAATAAGTGTCTTAGGGAACATTCCTTTCCATTTTAAAGATGGAAACATCTTCTGGAATCACTGGCATCTTCTCTGGCTGGGCTCAGCAGCCAGTAGATCTAGCAAACTACCAATCTCAGTATCAGGTGTCAGGCAGACAGTTTATTCTTAGCAAACATGATTGTTTGGCAGGTGTAAATTATATAAAACAAACTCCAGTAAAACCATAGCAGATTTTGTGAGTTGTGGTAAAAAAGATTGTAAACTACCTTTTATGCAGATTGGCTGTTTCCCTGACCATTCTCCATCGTCTTGGCAGGTCCTCTGTTCATTCCCACTAAGAACATACGAGTTGTTACAAAAGAAAGCAATGACTGTGCCAATTTTTGCATAGCGTCCTATCAAGAGCCCAGTGTCTTCTACTACTCTTCTGTAGCCATTGAGTGGGCCACCAGGATCTGAGCAGTTTTTTTCATCCAGAACTAATGATAGGGGAAAAAAATAGTAACCATTTTATTATTATTCACAGCATTATTTTCACTCATCAGGTTGCTTGGCATTTCATTCAGATGTTACTACACAATCTATATTTTATTAAATATGCCTTTTTACGACCCATCTGGGATCCCTGTCTGCAAATATCAAATATTAAATAAGAAATTACAATATACAGATGTCTGTTTATAATACACACTTTAGTCTTCACTGAAGCATTCAATTCTCAAACTGTTAAAAAGACCTTAAAATATATGTGACAATACTAAAAAAGAACCTTGACTTTACATGATGTTAATGTCCCATTACCATTAACAGGGCTACTTCAAGAGCATAAAAGGATGCACTTAAACTATTTGCAAGAAACAGGCCCCTGGCATTCTTTTCCCTTTTCTGTACTTTCAATACTTCACTGGACTTGGATAATAAAACTAGATTATTTAATTTTGCTTCTAAGTTTGGTTACATTTTAGTTTTGTAGCATTGAGAAAGAGATCTCAATAATCCAGTGAATTAAGGGAATTGAAAGAGAATATACATATATATATATATCTACTGATACTGAAAATGTAATATGGAAAGCTTACTCATGCTAGGATCTGCCTATTAAACCTTTTTTACTTCCTCCTTCCAAATATTTCCCCCTTCTTTTTATTTGTTGTTGTGTTTTTTCTCTCAATAAACTTAAATTTTCAGCCTAAATCTGGATGACAGTATGCCCTTTGTGACGCTAGTAAATGATTTTCACTATATTGTTCACTCCTCTGCGCTTTCTATTTAACATCTGAAAAGGTGCTTTTTTTCCCCCTTTGGATTTCATCTCTGTTTTCTTGTCAGGCTGACAGTAACATGTAATTCTGTTTAATTCCTCTGTCTGATGTCTCATTGCATGATAACCAGTGAACATTTAGTTTAGATAACTAGTGTTGGTGCTGCTCTGCTTATGGAGGGCTGAGAAGACTGAGACACATCAGTTCACCAGAAATGACCTCTTCATGTCATTGCTTCAGACTCAGCTGCCTGCTGAGCCTCACTTCACAAAAGCACCAACATAAAAGCACTTAAACATGTATTTAAATCCCTGTGAAATCAACACAGTAACAGTGCATATGTATGGCCCTGTCCTGTTCCTATATCCTCGTGTCACCAGACAGAGCCCAGCTCAGCAAAGCATGTAACATAGCTAACTGTAACAGTACAAGTTCAATGAAGAGCATATGTTCTTGTCATTGAGCATGTAATACTCAATGACAAGCATATATTTCAGTGCTTTCTTTAACAACACTGGATTTTAGCATATGCTGAAGATTATACATGTACTTAAACACTTTTCCACATGAGTGATATTCAGTAAGCAAAGAGGACATCTGAACTTCCTCTCAACAAGGAGAAAGGGAGAAGCAGAGCTCTGTGTCCTTTTAATTTGGCTCCATTTTTCTTTTCTGTACCTTGCAGGCTCTCTCACATGTGAACCACAAGTGACTGTTAACTTGATAGCAGCTAAAGACTACAAGGAATCACCCACAATATAATGCTTTCTGCACCGATATCTAGCCTAAAGGCATCATCTGATGAGCAGAGTGCATATTTCCAAATGTACCTAAGCTTGACCAAGTAAGTCAATGAAAGTCTTCTCTTATTTCATCCTGTGTCTATCAGTAACTTGACCAGTAACTCTTCTTCCCTAAACTCAGGGTTATGACTTTTTTTATGGATAAAAACAAAGAGAAAACATCTGGGAAGGAGAGACACAAATTACACCACCTAGCGCTTCAGTAACAGCCCAGTCTAGCAGATTGAATAGATCTTTAACTAGGAACATCATGCAGCAGGGATTTTAGCACAATCCTGATATTACATTTACTGCAACTGGAGATATTCTGTCTAGGTAGAAGAATGCCTATTGCTTGCTCTTTCAGATGAACTTATATACAGCTGTTTCACAACACTCCCCCCCAAATTTACATAGTTTGCCACAACACACTTGTAAAAGCAATTTCCTATTGATACAAATTATTCTGGAATATGGTAATAAAATCGTGTAATACAAAACAGCTAAAGAAAAATTAAAAGTCTCTTTGGATGAGAAGAAGGGGCTTGGAATTTCACAGCTGAGTCAATGTGAATGGCAGGCATGCCAACTTGCACAGCCGGAACGAATGGAAGTTTCTCTTTTATCATTTTTTCTCTAGGATGGAAATTCTGTTGAAATAAGAGTCTAGTCTTCAGGCAGTAAGCCCCTAGTCACTTCAACAGAGTGCACCAGACTTCTCCAGAGAAGGTATCAGAGGTACATACTAATAGAAGTGGGTATTCATTGTTGCACAATGTCCCTCACTTGGTTTTGATCCTAGACATTTTCAGTCTGTATGTAAGAAGGAAGCATGCCTAAAGTCTTTGAAGAAATTATTTTTCAGTCATTTGATGTTTCAGCCAGACCTTTATATAAGCAAGTCTTGCAGGCTGGGGGTCCAGCAGAATAAAATAAGAATCCCTACTGCTTCTTAAAGATGGGAAGACAAAAGAACATCATGTTAAGCCACAGATCTACCAAATTTCAAGTGAGATTTGGATGTTCTAGTTTCATGTGAATACATTGGCCGAAACATTTGATAAGAATCAAAACATAAAGTGACCTTACCACATTCAGGATGATGTGTTGACCAAATCCCATCAAGCTGACAGTAGGCAACACGGCTGCCTTTTAAGCTGTAACCTGCGTTGCACTTGAAGTAAACCTGGGCCCCGTATTTAAAGTCATCTCCTTCCACAATACCATGAGCAGGAGCACCTGGAGTCCTACACATCACCACTGACAGTTCAGATATTTCAAAAAAATCCACTTTATTACAAAAACAGGACTGTGTTAGGGTGATTCTTTATTTAGAACATTGAAACACCAATTAAAAAGGGCACAGTAGTCAAAATTACAAGACAGGTATATGCTGATCTTTAGAAAGTTGTTTAGATGTCAGTTCTACACACACTTACATATACACCACTTTTCAAAACATATTTAGATCCATTCAGTTCAATAGGATTACTCAGAAGTATTAAGTGATCATGTGCATAAATGTTTGTATCATTAGGGCTCATTTGCTCAAAATACTAGTATTTGAGGCACTTCCCATCTTAACAGGGGTTTTTAATGAACTACCATGCTTGGTCAAGAAAATATTTAGATCCTTAAAAGCCTTACATTGAAATTCTTTCAAATTCTTCTTTCAGTCTTTATATAGTTTTTCAGATAACCTCACTGAAATATTAAAGCATCATTATTTGTGTAGATCAACATTATCATAATGACATTAAAAAGGAACCTTGATATTTACCAAACTGTGATATTTACCCTTTCCACGGGGTTTGCTCTATTGGGAAAATACTTACAGAAAACGGTCTATTTAATTACTGCAAATAGTAAATATTAGATTAAACATCATAAGGAAAGTTTCTCTGGAAGCATCAAACCAGACATACTAAATCAGAACAAAGGTCCATCCAGCACAGAAACCTGTCTTCAACAGTGGTAAACAGTAGTTTTGATACAAGGAATATAAAACCAGAACAAGCATATAGATTACTTCTCTGGCATATTCTGGCAGCATTCAGCAATCTGGGGCTCAAAGACTAGCTGAACTACAATGGTATTTTTGGTACAACATACCCTGGTGATTTATTTTTAACATTAATTTGTCTAAGTATTTTCTAAACTCAACTACACACTTGGTGTCCACAATATCCTGTGGCAATGAGTTCTACAGACTAAGTGTTGTGTGAAAAATATACTGCCTTCTTTAGTTTGGTTTGTAGCCTGCCATCTGATCATTTAATTTAATGCTCTACTTTCTCCACTGTGAGAGATAGAGAATGTCCCTGCCCTATTCACCTTCTCCAAGTCACCAATTTTCTGTATGTAGAAAATATATGGATGTATTTCTGTATGTAGAAATTACAACAACGTGGGAAATACAGGCTTTCATCTCTCTATGTGTCTTGGGGTTTGCCTGGCCATTTACTGTGGAAAACTGCATAGGAAAGGATTGAGTGCAAGATTCAGATATGCCTATGGATCTTTTACCTATCTTCCACTGAAGACAGACAGATGAATGCTGAAGAAATCATCCCTAATTTATGCTTTTAGAATTTGACTTTTTCCGTTTTGCCTTGTAGCTAGTTGCTTGCTAACCTACAGCCAAATTTTAATCTTTACACTTCCAGAGGAAAAGCTTTTCTAAGGCCTCAGCCCTGTAAATCCTTACACAGAAGACACATGAATGCATCTATTTATACAGATTGTGGACCATCCAATTATTCATATAAGGAAGAGATTCTTGAGTAACAGTCCTAAAGCAACAGCATTTGCAAGAACAAGGCTCCACAGAAATCCCTCTCATTTTACAGATTACTATAATCATCAAACAATGACTCAGCAGAATCATTTGTGCACTAATAAACACACGTCGTGGAAAGAAAAACTGTCTAACATTTAAGCATTAGAGAAGGGCCTAGACTTACTGCTTCAAATCAAAACATATCCAGTTAGAGGAGCTCAACATTTCCTCTTGGCTGCAAGTGTTCTGCATCAGTGTCATCTTTAGTCAAAGAATAATGACAAAAATTCAACAAAATTCATTCCTAGCTGTTGACATTTCTCATGTGAAATATAAGCACGCATACATATACATGAATATATAGACACATATGTGTATACACAAGCACATACATAAATGAAAGGGAAATAATGGGATCATTGATATTCTAGGTGTTTTAAATTCTCAGAACATTTGTCTTCCCAGTCATGATCTTTGTATTCCCAGTCACTCCCTCTATATCTTTCTGTGAACAGCAATTCATATCACTACATTTATATTTCTCTTTTTCAATGCAAAGTCACACTCAGCTTGTCAAATGAGAAAGCAAGATGATTAGAAACATCTGTGCACTACTCAGAGTTCTCTTTTTTATCAGGTTTTCTGGTTTGCTTGTG